CACCCCAGCTCCCCGCACCCCCTCCCACCGGCAGTTCCGCGGCTCCGTGTGGTCCGGGGCAGATCGCCGAGCGAGCGCTTCCCCGGCGCCCGCGGGTTGCTACGCGCGCGCTCCTTCCTGAGCCAGCTACCTCCAGCGCCCAGTTCGCCTCGGCTCGCTGCTGCGCCCGGCTCCCACTCCGCCCCCTCCCGGGGTCCCCAGTCTCTCCTGCGCCCGGCTTGCCTCCGGCGTTTGGCTCCCTCCTGTGCCCCCGCTCAACGAGCCACCCGTCTACCTCCAGTGTCCAGGTTTCCTACAGATCGGAGCGCGCGTTCTCTTTAGCGGGGAGAAGACCTTGGTGTTCCCGAAGCGCCAGAGCGCCTTGGACGGTCTGTCCGCTGGGGTTGGAGGAGTCTGGCTGCAAGATTGTCGGGCTGGGCAGCCTAGCAGGGTGTGTGTAAAACCCTTCCCCCGTCAAGAGGGGACCCAGCCAGGCTGCGTCCTGCCAGCTCGGGGGATCGGAGGCGGGTGTTAGCGGTTAGAGGAAACTTTCCAGCAAGCGCCTTGCTAGAGCAAAACTCGCATCTGTCAGGAATGCTCTCTGGGAGCTATTCTTGCAGGAAGCTTCTGTTGTTGCAGTGCAACAAATGCAGAAAGAAAGGGAAGGTTTGTGCATCTGACAGCTAATGCTGAGGACCAGTTGGAAAATCACACAGTCCCCAGTCCCAGCTGATGGATGTGTGGGTATGATGCAGCAGTGTGTGTGGATAATGTAAAGAGAGAGGCTTAAGGAAGCACGAATGGTAACGTAGAGTAAATGACGCCGCCACGAAGCAAGAACACATTTAGTTACATTTCCGACTTCTCACATTCAGTTATAACACCTGGGTTTGGCTTTTATTACTCACACGATTTTATAATTTGAGCTTGGTCAATGCAAACAAAAAGGTACATGAGTTCTGGTTGATGTAATCAATCGAGATGTCTGATTTCTTGGTCTGCTGGGTTGTTTTCTCTTTTGCCCAAGTTCCCGGATTCTCAAAACTCTAGGATTAGTTTTGGTGGGATGAGAGGAGAAAATACGTAAACACTCAAGATGATTAAAATCCGGTAGCATTTAAAGTTATGTCAGTGGCTTTTGAGTTGGCAACCAAGTGGGTGTGAAATTAATGAGTCGTTAGCTCAGCTGTCAGTGGATTATATGTGGGGACCCACCAACAAGACAGCCATCACAATCACACAATGCAGCAGGAGGTCTGCAAGCCCCCTGCCTAATTTCACCACAGTAAGGTCCTCAGCTCAGCCTTGAAGGTAAAAAGCCTATAGTTGAATCCTTGAGAAGTAAACAGCTTCTAATCACCCATATGAAGGTACATGAAAACATTATATAATGCTCACACATCTTCCTAGCATTGGAATAAAAAGAACAGTGTCTGGAAGATACATCAGCCTCTGGACCAAACTCATATTCTTACCTTGTAGAGAGAGACTGACTCCTGCAGCCGTCTAAGTCAAGAGCTAAAGGCAATGCTAATTCAGCTTATAAAATGCCAAGCAGTTTAACCACCTTCTCTATATCCAAACATATAAATTTGCTTTAAGCCCATACTTGATCATCGGAGTGTTAGAAGGCGGGTGGGTGCGGGTGATATATTTGTTTATTCACCTCTGTCCTAGGACTTGTCAGCCTACTTCTGCCAACTTGGGGAGGTTGGAAAGGGGGAGCAAGGAAAGGAGAGGCTTAAGAAAAGGCGCAGAGGAGAACTGCTCCCTGAGTCCCGTGTAGGGCCCTAGTTACCCCAGTCACTGCAAACCTGTCTCCCCTTCTGACTTTTTTCTGTTCCTGCCCTCAAGGGGCAGTCTTAAAATAGCCAAGGGGTTGGGAAGAGTTGGATTAGGCTGCCCAGGAAACAGATCCTGAGTGCTGGGCTGTGGAGAGGGGTGTAGGCAATGTGGGAGGAGGCTTTCTATCCGGCGCCATCTTTCTGTCAAGTGGTGTTACCAGAATATTGTGTGCCAGGCGTAAGTGCCCCTGAAGGGCGAAGGGACTGCATTTCTTTGAGCGACAAGGCCCGAACTTAGTTGTAGACATTCAGTGCGGAAGCCTGGATGTCAGTAACATTACCATAAGTGTAAATACGAATGTATTTGTATACATTGCGTAGACACACATGTATTGGTATATGTATATAGGTATATAAACACAGCATAAATGTCAGGGCGTGAGATTTGAATTGCTGAAAAGCTCTCCTGAACCTTTTTTCCCTTGCTCAGTCAGAGGTAAACCGAGTTTCCCAGAACTTCTGAATTATAAGTACGTTAAATCACAAACATCCCGGACCAGAAGGTGATTTGAATAGGCGTTCCAACATTGGGCTGCAGGCCTGAAGGGATCCCTGATGACTCCCGGGGCTGTCCTTCAGTTGAACGGATGGAAAAGTTTGGAATAGTACATTCAACTCGAGTTAGCTTTCTTTTAAAATAAAATGTTCTCAGATCTTCCTTAATCCCTACATTTCATGACACTTTAAAAAATGTTTTTGAGCTAACAATTTTTTGGTCCTTAGATAGGACACAAGATTAAGAAGAAAATATATCCACTTATACAGGTATTAGATGTTACAAGTTCAAAGTGAGTAACTCCTCCGTTTTTTCATTCCCCAATCCCAACTGTCACAATGAATCCGTTCTTAGGAACCTACACACTTGACACTACTTTAGAAGGCAACAGAAAGCTCCAACAATAAATGCCAATCAGCAACTTGTGAGGCAATGGGCTTCCTCCTGGGTATTTCCTGTGCCTTCCTCTATCTCTCCCCATCCCACTACCTTGACCCCACACCTGAGCCTGTGGGTTCTCTCTGATCTCCCGGCCCCTGGTCCTCTCGATCCATTTAATCTGGCATGCCATGGCATAAGTAATATTTCTAAAATGCTGCTCTGACCAAGATGCTTTTCTGCTCAGAAACCTCAGTGCCTCAACGTAGCCTTCAAAGCCTCCAGAGTCCAGTTCCGAATAGCCTTTCCAGCACTACCTCCTGCAGGACTCTCCATGTCTCCCTAACATGCAGTTCCGTATTCTTTTTCCTTTTTTTTTTTTTTTTTGCATCTATACCCTTTCTCATTGGGTTCTTTCCACCAAGAATCCGCTCTCCCATCTCTGTCTCGTTGGATTCAGCTTTCAAGATCTGGCCAATATATTTTTTATTTTACAGTCATCCCTGCCCACTGTTTCTGTAAATGATCTCGCCTTCCCCTGCCTATAGTAGTTACTTTGTTAACTACGTTTCATGTGCCAATTAATGATATGTTGCCTGTTATTGTTATTTAACACCTCATATTGTTTCTTAACTTTTACAGGTTTTTTTCTCTTTTCTTCTCGTACGGTTTGTAAGCTCATTGAGAGCCAGGACTATCCTGTACTTTTTTGTATCTCCCAGGTTTACTAATATTTACTTAACATTAACTTTGACTCATAAATATTTAATGTTCAATTTATTAAAATTTCTATATTTGCTGGTATGAGAAATAACTGACTGCTTTAGGAGTCATCTTTCCTCATGCTTCAAATTTAGAGTAATAGTTCATATTCCTATAGCCTAGTCGATATTTTCATAAAAACATTTCAAAATATAAAATTTACAAATACAAGGTAGGCTCATGAGATAAATAAATTTGTATTATACCTACTCAGTAATAAATAAATTGGGGCCTAGGTAAGAGTTTTTGCAAGTCCATGCAAGTCCACATAACAAAAAGCACTACCTAGTCTTCATAAATATTCAGAGCGAATGACCTTTCCCCTTCAGTTATGATACTATATATCCAGATATTTCTGCCCCAAGCTGACGACTCGAATCTGGTTTCAAATTCTAAATCAAGTTACAAGTCTGTACAGCAGTGATTAACGGACATCCAATCTACCCATGGTTGTAAGCCACGAGCTTGGCAAAGGCATTTCTATTCTTCAGTTGACTTTGCTAGAAAATGAGGTTAAAATAATGGTGAGGAGCCTAACTGGACAACTGCTGGAAGGTTGGCCAGAGGAAGTCTGGGGGGAATTTCTAAGTAAAGCCCCATGAAGTGTATCAAATCAGTACATTAGCATAATTTGCCTTGAGGCTGATAATGGGTGGCAGCATTTGTTCATCAGAGCTCTGGTGGCTGTTTCTGAGGAAATACATACAACTGTTCCCATAAAGTAATGCTACCATTGAAACATTCACTCAGTGCTAACTAACCAGAGAACAGCCTGCACCCCTGGCTGACACTTAAGGTCGTATACCGGTTCTGTAGCCACAGTTCACACAGGGACAAGCAACTCCATCCATTGTGATAAGAAAGAACACAGAAGACGGTGGTGTAATCACAGCCAAGTGTGGACTATTTGGAAAATTCAAAAGCTCTCCTTTCTCCTCCTCCTCCCTCTTTGCCTCCTCCTCCTCCTCTTCCTGATATGTCTGC